ATCTTAGGGGTAAAACTTTCAGTCTTTCACTGTTGAGTATGTTGTTAGCTATTGGTTTTTAATATATGGCTTTTATGATGTTGAGGAAATTTCTTTCTATTTCTAGCTTGAGTGGTTTTCATCAGGGAAGGTGTTGAACTTTGTCAAGTGGTTTTGTTAATATCTATTCAGATGATCATGTGGAATTTCTTCTTCATTCTATTAATGTGGTGTATTACATTGAGTTTTTGTTGTTGAACCATCTTGTGCTCCTGGAGTAAGTTTCACTTGGTCATATGTGTCATCCTTTTAATAGGCTGCTGATTTTGTTGAGTTTTTCTTCAATATTCCTAAGGTATATTGGCCTGTCGTTTTTTTTTGGTAGTATTTTTGTTTGGCTTTGGTATCAGAGTAATGTTGGACTCATAGAACTGAAGAGAAGTGTTCCCTTCTCTTTAATTTTTTGGAAGTGTTTGAAAAGCATTCTTCTTTAAAAGATTGGGTAGAATCAAACAGTGAAAGCTATCTGGTCCTGGCCTTTGGGAACTTTTTGACTACAGATTTGATCCCCTTACTAGTTATAGTTCTATTTAGATTTTATATTTCCTCATGAGTTAGTTTTAGTAGATTGTGTGTTTGTAGGAATTTGTCCAGGTTATCCAAATTGTTGTTATACAGCCTGGAGGAGTAAGGGTGACCAGGGCATAATGTCCTGACCCTGCCCTGATAGGATCTGAGCTGCTGCCTGGGGAGCTTTGGTCTCTCCAGCTCCAGCTCCTCCAAGCTGCCGGCGTTCTTCTCCCTCTGGCTGAGGCTGCACGGTCACCAGCTCCAAGAGCAGCAACCCAGCCAGGGGCTCAAAGCTGGCAGTGGGGACTCAGAGGGTGCCTGCCCTGCCCCTCCCATGTGATGGCAGGCTGTAGGGTTGCCCTGGGAGGCTGGAGGTTGTCACGGCCTCTAATCACGGTCCTGTCTTCTAGAGTCCCTGCTCCCCTCAGAGCCACCTTTGAGAAATGGCTGGTGGATGGTGCGGGGCTGCAGTGGAAAGGGCCTCCTTGCAGTCCTTGGCTCCAGGCTCTCGCTGGAGGTCAAGGTTGGAACAACTTCCAGACAACGGCTGGGAGGCTGGGTCCACTCAGGCTGTGCCACTGATGCTGTGGCCACCACCGGGCGTCCCCTTGCCTGCTCTGAGACTAGTTTCTGTAGCCATAAAATGGGCACGGTAACACCCCATCCGCTTGTCCTATTTGATTTTTCTTCACAGCATCATCAGTACCTGATAGGAATGACCTGGTTAACTCACTCGCTGCCTGTCTCTCCTGCCAACGGTGGCAATTCTGTGAGGTCAGGGACTGTTCCTCAGAGCATGCCTGGCATGGTGCAGTGAACAGACCAATGGGCGCAGTGAACACATGGATGTGGCGAAAGCTACTGGACGGCAACGTCTACGTGGCACGACCCGGGACTGACGGGTCTTCTCCAACTTGCAGGGCGGCTTTGGGATCCTGCAGATGTGTGTCAACTCCGTGCACTACTATCCCCAGACGCAGCTGGAGCTCTACAAGATCGCCGTGGACGCCGGCTTCCTGCGGAAGTACTTCCACCCCATCAATGGTGAGGGCTCCCTGTACAAGCTCCCTGCAGGCAGGGAGCCCGGACACACAACCTCTGGGCCTGTTAGATGGCTGGACAGATTGGAGGAGTCCAGGCTAAGATCTAGGAGCAGAGACCTGTGGTGGCATCAGTCACCCCTCACTCATTTTCTGCTGAGTCTGGATTTGGCTTGAGAGACTTCTCAACCCAGCCCCGAGCAGCCGCTACCCCCCACCAAAGTGGGCAGGAGAGGTGAAGCCGTTGCTGGTGAAGGCAGCATCTGGGGCGGTCTGACAGAGGCAGCGGGGCTGGGGAGGAGGTGGGAGGAGGGTCGCCCCAGGGACAGGACCTGAGCTGCAGGGAGGATTTGCCAGTGCCCACTGGGCCCCTCCCCATCAGTCACTCCTCAGTTCGGCTGTTCCTTGTCCTCGCCAGGTTCATCTGTGAGGACGTCTGCACCTGCCCTCAGGCGTCCGTGTCTCAACAGTTCGACTCTGTTCCCTGGAACTCCTTCAACCGCGACATGCTGAAGACCCTGTATGACTTCATGTCCATCTCCATGCACTGCAACAAGTCCTTGTCCATCTGCTTCCAGGTGTGTTGCCATGGGCGTGGGTGGGACACACAGTCAGGCATGCCTCATGGGGGGCCCCAGTGTGGGGTGATGGAACTGCACTCCAAACTGCTGACAAAAGCACTCACATGAGACATTTGGAGCAAGTGCCAGGTAGTGACAGGCCTAGACAGACAGACAGACAGTGGCGGGGGGGGGGGGGGGGGGGGGAAAGAGAAGGGAGAGGGAGAGAGAGAGAGAGAAAGAAAGAGAGAAACAATAACAAGGCCAGGAAGGGAGGGCAGGCACCCTCTCCGGGTGACACCTCCACACCAGTGCCAAATGCCAAATGCCAGTGGTGTAAGCAGGGCGCACCAACCTCCCACAATGATAAAGTGCCCATGTTCTGGCCGGGTCCAGGGTCCTGGGATCCAGGGTCATTTGGAACCTGTGGGAATGGATGGACAGCATGGCATGGGGCATGCATGGGTTCTGGGCCCTCAGTAGATTCCCTTCACTCTCTTGTTGTCGGGATGGAAGGGAGACTTCAGGTGAGCCTGGGCAGCACGGGTCACCCTCATTCTCTCCAGAGCACAGTCCCTGCTTTTCACAAAGTCCAGCGAGACCTAGGAGCAGAGGTGGGGATGAGGGTCACTCGCTGTTGGGTGGGTGCAGGGCTCACGCCTGCCTGCTTCTCTGAAGGAGGGTGACTTCCCCAGCCCCGGGCAGGCACAGTGGCTGGAGCAGCGCCAAGGCTGGTGGCCAGTAGGGCTCGAATCCCTGAGGCAGAGGCGGCTGGATGAGCCTTCTAGACAGCTTGGTCTCTGCATGCTCCCCATCCCACACCCTGGCTTGGCCTCCCCAGCCAGTCCTTGGGAGCCAGTCAGCCCCAGGTGCAGGTACTCTTAGGCAGGAAGAGGGCGTCGCGTCCAGCCTGGCACAGCTGGTGACGCTGGGCACTTTTGCCGTGGCTGCTCTGAGGAGGGCAGGCCGGGCCACTCAGGGAAGCTGTTCTCCTTGTACAGCGATTAAACCCAAGGCCAGGGCCACAGGAGGGAGTCTCGGGCTCTGCGCTGGGAGTCAGAGGGCTCCTCCTTGTTCCTGGCAGCTAAGGACTGGATAAAAAAATGAAAAAAAAAAAAAAAAGCTTTTTCTGTGACAGGAGCTTTAGGGGTGGCACTTCTGAGCCATGCGTGCACCTGCAGGGCTGAGAGCTCTGAGCTGCCCCCCGCAGGCAGGCAGCATGGGCAGCTGGTGGCCTTCAGATGTCCGCAGGGAGGCACAACTCAAAGCAGGCACCTGGCCTTGCTAAAAAACACCCACGAGTCTGAAACTCCTTCCCCGCCTCCGAGCCTTTCCCATCAATGAGCAGGTTTCCCTATCTTAGGAAGAAACCTCTGTTGCCCCACTTGGGTCTCTGAAAATGTTTAACAGCCAGCTCTGGGGTGGGGCGGGCGTGATTGTAGTGTTTGACCGTTTCCAAGGCGCACATGCTCTGGACAGCCCTGATGGAGGGCGCAGGAGACGTGCACCGGCTCTGACCGTATTGACTGGTCCCCCGGCTGCCTGTCTGGATGCCGTTTAACCTCGGCTTCCCTGGTCACATTGGTTATATACCCATCCCTGGCTCCGGAGAAAGGCGAGCGTTACTGTTCTTTGAAGAAAGGGCAATGGAGCCTCTACTCCCCAGCCCACGCTGGCATGGAGCCCATAAACTCGGCTTTGGCTGGGCCCCAGGGTGGTGACCCCCAGGACCGTGGCCCCAGGGCTGTGTCAGGAGGCCCTGCCCACTGTGGGAGCCATGCCATCACAATCCCTGCTTATTAAGACCCCACTCTAGGCAGTTGCTTGTATGACAGCCCTGCATGGTAGGTGGGTGTCTGTCCACATTTTATAAATGAGGAAACTGAGGCTCCAAGAGAGGATCCTTGTCCAAGGTCACAAAGCAGGTAAAAGGGAGATCCCAAAGGCTGGTGGCATCAACTGTGTCCTGAGCCTCCCAGCTCCACCGTCAGACTCAGCTCCATGGGCTGCCACTTCCCTATGGCTCCACAGGACCATGGCCTTGCCCGAGGCCTGGCGGTGTCCCCTCCCGCTTGGGCCTGCAAACTGGGCTTGCACATGACCTGCAGGTCTTGCTAAGGCTGCTCTGTCTCCAGCCTACCCCTCCTCATGGCATCTCCCAAGCGCTCCTTCCCTCTCTGATTCCCTCTATGTGTCCAGCAGGGGCTCAGGCTGGAAGGCTCTGGAGCCAAGCCAGCACCTCCCGGCCTCACTTAGGGCTTGGACCAAATATCAGATCGCTCCTGTGGAGAGACGTGACCCTCCTCACTGGCACCTCTACTTCCAAGGGCCAGAAAGATGGGAAGAGAAGGTGGAGGTAGAGAGCACCCCTTCCCCTTCTGGGGAGGCTGCCCATCCCCTGCCCCACCATGCCTGGCCTCCCAGGGCTGTCCTGGGACTTGCTCCTGGGGGCAGTGCCTGCTCTTTCCAGCCTGCTCCTGCCTCCTGCGGCCAGGGGCCAGGGTCATCTGGTGGGTGTGGGGTTGCCTGGGGTCAGGGGTATGTGGGGTGAGGAAAGAGAGGATAGGAACATGGGTCTCTGAGTCAGTGTCTGGTCGGTCACCCTGGGGGCTCCCTGCACCCCAGGCAAAGGGTAGGCCATGGATGGCTCGAGGTTTGGGTCTCTTGTCAGGAGCCAGAAGGTATCATCCTGGCTGGCTCACCCCTCCTCCTAACAGAAAAAAAGTCTGGAACCACCAAAGACAGGTTCTTCCACAAAGAAAACAAAAAGCAGCTTTGGCTCTGCCCAGGCACAGCTGGGGAGTCCTCCACCTGCTGGGGCGTCTTCCTCCCCCTTCTCCTTCCTCCTCCCTCTCCCTCCTTCCTCTCTCCCCTTTTTCCTTCCCCCTCCTTCTCCTTCCTTCCTCTGCCTCTTCCCTCCTCCCTCTTTCTTCCTCCCCTCCGTCTTCTCTCCTTTCTCTTCCCTCTGGACTCTTCCTCCTCTGGACCCCACCCGGGCCTCCTCCCTGTGCCCAGCACTCTGAGGGCGTGGTGCAGGGTGCTGGTTTGGAGCTAGGGAGGGATCAACATTCACCTTAGCAGGGTAAGAGAAGGGGACTCAGCGGCCCACCGCTGGGGTAACAGATGTAACCGTAGGGAATGGTCTTGATGATGGCAAACCAAAAGTCAGCCCTCAGGACATGGCCCACCACTTGGCTGTTCCTCCAGATGGCCTCCAGGCTGAACATGGATACTTTGCTGGAAGAAGCCATGGAGAAAGGTGGGTCCCCAGAAACCGCAGGGTAGGGACACATCCACAGTGACCTGGAGGAGAATCGGGGGCTACATGGTGCCCACCCAACCGTGGCTTCATGCAGATAGGGCTGGCCTACTAGGACCTTGCTGGTCCCCAGAGCCAGCCCAGCACCTGGCCTGGACACCAGGGCTCAGGCTTCATGTGAGTAAAAGGGATAATCAGAAAACATCGAAACCAGGAATGAATTCGGCTGTTTCCAGAAGCGAGCCCTGTATATTTGGAAGAAGCCCTGCTTCTGCTTCCGATTTCCTTCCACTGGACTTCTGAATGGTTCAAATGTGAAACGTGATTGTGGCTCATTCTACCCTGGTTCTTTTTCTTTCTTTCTTTCTTTCTTTTTTTTTTCCTGGAGCAGTGGTGAGACCTAGACTCACTGCAACTTCCATCTCCCACGTTCAAGCGATTCTCCTGCCTCAGCCTCTGGAGTAGCTGGGATTACAGACACCCACCACCATGCCCAGCTAATTTTTGTATTTTTAGTAGAGATGGGGTTTCATCATGTTGGCCAGGCTGGTCTCGAACTCCTGGCCTCAAGCAATCTGCCTGCCTGGGCCTCCCAAAGTGCTGGGATTACAGGCATGAGCCACCGTGCCTGGCCAGGTTCATTTTTTTTCACAGTACAATGCATACTTTATTCAAAGGACTTTACTACGTGTAATATGTGGGTGCTCACTGTAAACTTTTTAAAAATTAAAAGCAGGAAGACAAAAAAAGTAAGCTAAAATCACAGAAAGGCCAGCACCCAGGGCTAACAAGTGCTAACACTTCGCTGCCAGGCTGCAGACTTCTCCCTGTCTGATGGGTTATCGCAGCTGCAGCTGTGCAAAGCAGCCCCTGAATGAAAGGAGTGGGGTGAGGATGAGGGCACCTTCTGCATCCGCAGCTCAGAGTCACTGTTTGGGTCCCACCTGTCAATCTGATAAGGGCGAAGCTGGAAGAAACTTTTGTAAATCTTTGGTTTTGCCCTAGTTCTTATTCTTCATGTGAGGACACTGAGGCCCCAACTGCTCGGAGTCCCAGAACAGTGTGGCAGGGCCATTCTCTGTGACTCCACTGCCTGCATCTTCTCTGGGTCTGTCCTGGAACTGTGACAGCCTGGAGCCACGGTGCAGGGCAGCTATTATACAGCCTGACAGAAAACCCCTGAGTAGAGTGCACTGGGTCACAGGGGCCGTCCGAGGTCCTCCTAGACCCAGACATCAGGCTGCAGGTGCTTCAAAGGACCCATGGACGCTGCCCTGTCTACAAGGGGCCCCCTCTCCTGGAGCTGAGCTGATCCCGGGAGCTGGATAGACTGTCACGGGAGAGGCAGAGCCCGACAGGCACCCAGTGAGAAGTCGCAGGATGATAACAGCACAGCTTCGCTCATCCCTCTACTCCTCCATCCTCCCTCTCCCCTCATCCTCCCTCTGCCCTCCTCCCTCCCTCTCATCCTCCCTCTTCCTCCCCTCCTCATTCTGACACTCCTTTTGAAGGCTCTAGAAATCTGGGAGAAGTGGTGGTGTTTGCAGCTGGCTGTCAGCTCCATGTCCACAGAGCCCAAAGCCAACGCCTTCCCCGGAGACCTGTGCCTTGGATCCCCACCAGAGCCACGGGAAGGTCTCTGAGCAGGGCCTGATCTTCTCAAACCGCCCTGCAACCCAAGTGGGACTCGGGTTCCTGGAATCCAAACTCTCCCAGGAGCCCAGGGAGCACGTGTGCCAGGCTCCTAGCAGGTGTGCTCAAAGCCACTCAATGGGGAGAGCAGGGGGTCAGGTCGTCCCCAAGCACAGTCTCTCTTTCCACCTCTGCTGTGTGACTGGGCGTGAGTCCCCTGTTCCTTGGCACTGCGTGG